GACAGCCCCCCAACCCCAAGGCTACTCAAGACCCCAAACTTATCTTCACCATCAATACACCTAAATAACTCATTTATTTTATTTCAAAGATTCTTGGCAGAGGTGGGGGGGGGGAGGGCCCTGCGTAGGGCATTTTCTTTGTTCCCTCAACTCCGCCCCCCCCCACAAGGGGTCCCAGGCAGCTTAACCAACCCTCATGCCCACACGCCATTGACTGCACTCCAGCGTGGCCCCATTTAGAACCAGAGCTCATTTGACTATTGGAGCTCAGAGAGCCTTCCCCAGCTCCTGCCGAGGGTGCTCGGGTGTCCTGAAATAAGGGTACACAGGTGGACCCCAACTGGGTTCGGCCCTTGGGTCTCCTCCATGTGGCTCTCTCGGGAGGGTAGCCCAATCCCTACAGCTTATCTGGCAGGACCTGCGGGCAGAGGGGAAGCCAGGTTTAAATGGGGAGCCAGGGAAGTCCCAATGCAGAGAGACTGACCCCACTTCCTGCTGTGTGACCTTGGGCAGGGTACTATCCCTCTCTGGGCCTTATGTTTCCCCATCTGAAAAACAGGCTCTCAGGAACCAGCAGTTAGTGTCATGGCTATGTCACTGGACTCCCATGTAGTCGACCGCGGTTCGAGTCCCGGACCTGGTGGCTTAAACTCACACCGGGCGCGTGTGCGTGCGTGCCCAAGATCCCGAGAGGAGAATGGAGGAGAAGGGATTGCGGCATGGCCATCCCCCCTGGGGGGGGTGATTTCTCGCTTTCTGTCTCTCTGTCTCTCTGCTTTCTGTCTCTGTCTCTGTCTGTCTGGCGAGCGCACACGCCCTATAGCAAAAACCTCTCCAAAAAAAAAAAATGTCGAGGGCAGGAATGTTCATTTCTGATGAGACTGGGCTTCGGATAATTTGGGGGACTTGGGAGGGGTGGATAAGATGCTAAGCAAAGGCTACGGGGCACACAGTAAGTGCTAAGAAAAAGCCGATGAGTGAGAGGAAGAAGGAGGGATTCCATCTAAGGCTGCGCCTAAGGCTGACGGTGCAGGTTCAAAGCCCGTGGTCACCAGGAAGGGGCCCTTGTCCCGCGCGCCGCCCCCTCGGCCCCCTCTTACCTCTCGCCGCGCCCCGTCGGCCCGAGTGCAGGATCCCCTCGTCCTGTGCTTGGAAGGAACGCGTGGTGGTGTCGTGGAGGCCGCCGATCTGCCTCCCAGCCTGCCCTCCTCCTCCGCCACCCCACCCCACCTCCCGCGGCTCCCTCTTTCCTACCTGGTGACGCGTCTTGTGCGACTTCTGCATCCAGGCCCGCCACTGGTCGTACAGGCGGAAACTGAGGTTCGAGCAGTACGCGTGCTTCTTGAGCCAGCCCAGAAACTGCTTGAGCTCGCGCCGCACCGGCCCCGAGCTCGGCTCTCCACCCCGCGGCTCGCACGCCCCGCCGCCCGGGCCCGAGCGCTCTGATCAAGGCGGAGCGGCAGTGTCAGGGCGCGGCCGGCAGGGGGCGCGCGC